TCAAGGCTAGCGCTCTACCACTTGAGCCACAGCGCCACTTCCGGCTTTTTTCTTTTTGCTTATGTGGTGCTGAGGAATCGAACCCAGGGCCTCAGGCATGCAAGGCAAGCACTCTACCACTGAGCCACCCTCCCAGCCCCTTGTTGTTGATTTTTATTTTTGATCTTGATGGAGGAAATTGAGCTATTCATCCTAACACAAAAATAGAGCCTCAATTTTGTCTCATAATTGGCTTCACTGGCTTACGATTCTTATGGCAGTTACATCATATTTATGACAGTCAGAACTTCTTCTGGAGCCTCCTTAGCCTCCATGCTTTCCCTCTTACTTTCCCTCTCTGTCCCTCTATGTCATGTTGACATTCAGAGGGGGAAATAAATAATTCAGAGGATTAAGGAAGTATAATTGTTTAGAAAGTTCTGATTTGTAGTAAAAAAAAATCAGAAACTACTGAAGACAGAGGTGGCTTCATCTCTGAGGAGTTTTATAAGGGAATTGGGAATCAATAATTGTCATAAGGAATACATCATGAATGCATCCTGTGTAGTTAATCAGACATCAAGGAAAACCAGAGTTTTTATGACCAGTGCTTTCCTGTCTGTAAATTTTGTGGATAATTAAGAGCACCTCAAGCTCCATTATTGCTGCTATTTAAGCATCTTAGCAAAGGGCAATGTCATTAAAAGCTCACATTGTGCTCCTTTTGTTCAAGCTCTTTGTACAGAGGGTTATAGTCTTGTGGGCTTAGGTAAAGTGTGCTCATAAGCTGGGCTGTCCTCCACAGTTTGCTGACGGGGATCCTATCTTGAAGAAATTATAATTATTCCAAGATTGAGGCATATTGAAATACCACAGTGCTGCTGAAATACTGAAAGTGCTGCTGTTGTCTAAAAATGGAAATTTGTTTTTGAAACTCAAAACAGATGTTGAAAATCTAATAGCTTGGAAAGATCCAAGCAGCAGATGCCAACAATTAGGGTTGCTTCCATTCAGTACAAAAAGCACTATGGAGGCTCAGAGGCTGCAAAGCACTGTAAAGGAGCTAGTGGGGGAGATGAACTATGGGAATACAAACTATCCCTAATGGAAGAGAAGACATATTGATGAAGATACCCGCAGTTTCATAAACTCTCCCCTACCAACCCATGCAAAATTGATAATATTATCTACATTTTACAAGTTAATAAGCTGAAGTTCAGAAATAGAAGTGAGTTGCCCAAAAGGCAGGATTTTAACCCAGGTCTAGTCTAACTCAAAAGCCCATATTCTTTTACCTTAATCAATATTCATAATGACTTCCCAAATAGTTGTTAACAAGGGAACAAGTGTAATCGTTTCTGTAGCAATGATAGGAAAATCAGTGAAACACTAATGAATAACAGGTAAATTAAGATGGGAATGGGTTGAGGCGAGGCCATACTTCTGTACTATGAAGAAGAAGACAACAAGAGCAAGACTGAAAAAGATTGGAGCAAGATAATGACCAAGTAACAGTTTTTGGAATCTTTCCATATAGGCACATTAAATTGAACAGCCATTCTCATGGCAACTTCCTCCAGAAGAGCTAAGGATATCAAGACTGTGTGCACAGTAGATTTGATTACATTGGCATCTCAAAAACAGTGGTCAGACACTGACAGGCATGGCTCAATAGATGCCTGTGGGTGTCAAACAGCATCAGTGGGCACAGACAAAGTCCAGAGTTCAGAGATGGTGGAAGGGAGCCTCGAGAGTGAAAAATCTCAGGAGTAGAATGGGTGACTCTGCTGAAGGGACCTTCCCACCAATAAGACCAAACTTATCACATACAGAAACCTCCTGCAAGTCAGAAGGTAGAGAACAGTCAACCAGGACAGCCTTGACACTAGATTCAGGTACAGCTTGGAAATCTCTACCCATAATCAGGCAGTGTAATTGTGGAAAAAGTCAGCAAACCCAGAGTCCAGAACTGCAGACTCTGATCTGGCAACCAAATGACACTAGTTGGCAAGAGCCTGGGAGATCAGGAGGGTGCTACAAGTCAAGTGGGGATGTCTGGTATATGGGAAGTTGGGAGATCCTACCCATGGGGCCAGCACAAATGTACAGACTGAGCTTTCAATCTACTTAAATGTACTAGAATCTGAGCTTAGGGCTGTAAGTGCCACTCTTCCACCGGTCTAAATTTACAAACCAGTGTCTGCCTACTGGCCTAATTAGTTCAGACTTAAAAACAAAATGAAACAAAACAAAACAAAACAGACCTTCTCTGTAGAAAAAATATAGACACTCTCCTGTTTTTTTTTTGGTCCAGTTGTGGGGCCTGAACTCTGGGCCTGGGAACTGCCCCTCAGCTCTTCAGCTCAAGGCTAGCGCTCTACCACTTGAGCCACAGCGCCACTTCCGGCTTTTTTCTTTTTGCTTATGTGGTGCTGAG